GGCGATTGCGGAATTCCATGAAAGGCATCCAGCGGCATACCGAGAACCAGAGAAGAGAAGGAGCCAACGAAATAAAGGTGTTCCAGGCGAAAACACATCTTAAAGAGGGGGTACTGTCACGATTCCTCCTAAGTTTCCCCAACAAGCGCCCAAGTCCACACTGAGCGCTAAACCATCACCTCGACTCACCCCAGTTCCCCAAACGCCTGACTCAACTCCATGACTCAAACGGGCCGACTCATACTCATCCATCACGACTCAGCGGGCCTGCTACCGTCTACGACTCACCACTTGTGACTCAGCGGCACGACTCACAATCCCAGAACCATCCATCCCTGACTCCTCCCCGCCGACTCGTACGGACACATGATGACTCACTCCGATCTGTAAACTAGTATAAAAGACTTACCTTGTACAGTACGTTTCCTTAGCTTAACCACTTGGTCAATCCATAGTGAACACAGCAGAACAGACTTGATTGAGTGACTTGAGGGGCAACTGCGGTCGCCTTCCTGACAGGTACCAGAGAATTGTCTCTATCATGTACATCCAACAGTGTCCAACTAGTTCCCCTCAATAACCTTCTATAGCCTTGAGTCAGGAATATTATTTCCGACCATGATTATTGCTTCAAATGTGATTATTATTGTACTTGACCCAGGCTCACATGGCATAATTCCTGTTGACCTTACCCCCATTGCATTCTTGATGGCGGTATGTGCTCATATTTATCCTATATGACCTATTGCCTCACAGATATTGTAAACCTCTAGGGTCTAGCACCCACTTTGATCATTGTCTGAGTTGCATATGGAAAATCTGTTGACAGTGTACAACAGATGGTCTCAATTCACTTTACTGAGCATGAAGCTTAATGGGAAATGGGCAATAGGGTGATATATAAAACTCTGGATACTTGCTTCCATTCCCAGCACCATGATCATTCCTGGGCCCCTGTGTGGAGAAAGTAATAGCAGAAGAGAAACATAATGGGGGGCCAGATTATTTAATTGTACAATAACGGCACATTTTTGTTGTGCCACAGGGTTTTGATACTTCTATGTGGTTATTGTTAGTCTCTCCCTAATCCATTTCATGCCCTATGTTTTCCTACCTTCTCCTATCCCTCTAATCTCATGTCTTGACTCTTGCCTACCTCCAGTCATTAGATGCCCATTTCCCTACTGGGCACTAAAATATTATCTTGACTCATCTTGTCCAGTCCAACTTACAGGGGTATAGCTCAACTGGGAGAGCAGCAGACTGAAGTAAGCGGTTAAATATCTGCAGACTTTCTGAAGGTCCCGTGTTCAATCCATGGTACCCCCAATCCAGTGCCTTGTTGTCACAATTCCTCCTATATTCCCCTAACAAGCGCCCAAAACCACATCGAGCACTAAACCATCAACTCGACTCACCTCGTTTCCCCAAACATCTGACTAAACTCCATGACTCGAACAGGCCGACTCATACTTATCTATCACGACTCAGCGGGCCTATTACCGTCTGCGACTCATTATCTGTGACTCAGCGGCCCGACTCACAATCCCAGAACCATCTATCCCTGACTTCTCCCTACCGACTCGTACAGACACTTGATGACTCATTCTTACCTGCAGCTTAGTATAAAAGACCTACCTTGTACAGTACGTTTCCTTAGCTTAACCACTTGGTCAATCCATAGTGAACACAGCAGAACAGACTTGATTGAGTGACTTGAGGGGCAACTGCAGTTGCCTTCCTGACACTTGGTTAAGCTCTATTACCCTCACCTCACTCTCGAACCGACCAAGAACACCAAACCCCCAAACAACGACCAAACTGGCATCCCAGAACCTCCAGATCGAGTTCATATATGAACCAGAACCCCTCAGACACCAGGAATACTTCTACTCAACATGATTCACCAGACCCAATGAAACGACAAATCTTAGACTCGAATCCTTTGTCTCGAAGACCGTCCTAAAGGACCCCCAGTACCTGCACAACAAGTGGTTGCGCCTACACCACGCCATCTGGTGGAACGAAGCACCAACATACACCACACATCACAGTGGATACGTCCACAACCTCGAAGAAGACTGCACCGAAATCCACATCTCAAAGAAAGTACCTGTCACCCAGTTCCACATAACAGATCAAAACCTTGTCTACGGCCATGTAGTCGCCGAAGACAATTTCTCCTGAAGAACCAACCACCTCGAGAACTACAGCACTCACATCTACATCGCCTACTAAACGTTGCCCATCATTGAAAACCTCCCACCTCCCGGCTCCAAGCACCCTTCTTGAGTTGGAACCCCAGCAGGAAGGGCATCAACACCAGTCACCTTACCTGAACATATTGCACTCGTCAACGGACATTATTATCTGTGGTACGAAGGATACAGCATAGAAGTATACTGGATATACAGCGGCAAAATAGACGAACATTGGTGGGCATACCTTGCAAAGATCAACTGGACCATATTTCTCGACCCAGGAGTAGTAGACAGATCCCTACCTGTCTCTATTCCATACAAACCACAGACAACATCCAAAGGAGATACTATTGAATGACCTCCCACACTGTAGAAACCCTCCCGCCAGCCCATCTAACATGTCATCAACAAAAACAGAAACAAAGATAGAGACAAAAACGGAACAAGTAGCACCCAGAGGTGAAGAACCACTGCGCCCCGGTACCCCACCAGATGATCTGGATGGATCGGATGATGAACAAGGAACTGAAGATGGAAGGAGCAGCAATAGTTGGAGATCCGCTAGCACTGCACGAAAGGAACCACCGAACTTCAAGGAGAGAGGAAGGAAACCGGATGTTTTCACTGGAAAGAGGGAAGAACCCGAGGACTTCCTAATTGAGTTTGGAAGATACCTCTGCCTCAACGAGGCCATCTACCCAAGCAAGTCCAAAAGAATCAATCTTTTTCTATCATTTATCAAACACACATGGGCACAGTGTCAAGAACTGGACTAGGTCTATAGCCCCTCAGGCCATCTTCTAGGTCAGGAAGTCGAAATGAATCAATAGATGGTGAGTAAGACACTTGCTACACAGTACATGCTGGGTACAAGCAATGAGAGACGAAGTTGTCAGACTAGGGAATCTATCTACAGGTGTCCATGAGTATATATGTCAAGGTACAGCATACTGAGTCATGGAAACGAATCCTAATAAGGAATAATGAAGGAACATTGTAGAACATCAAGGAATATCAAAGGAGTCAGGTAGAAACTGATGGAACAATCAAGGGATGTCAAGTACAGTAATATCATGATGGAAATCAGATGGAATGATGAACACAAGGTATGGAATGATCCGGAATGGGCGGGAACATCAGGGAAGCCATAATGCGATACTGGGGACATGGAATGAAGTGGAATCAAAGAGAAGTCAAGGAAAATAATCCGGGGACCAAGGAAATAAGAGGAACAGTGGGGCAATTCGTAACACACAGCACCAAAGCAGAGAAGTAGAAGATGATTATGCAGGGAAGGATGCTGCGGATCGGAGGTGGAAGACTTGGTGCGACCTTTGTCATCGGCTCAGAGAGGATTTCGAACCTCACGACTGAGAAGGGACAGCAGAGTGAAAGCTGGACAACCATATACACCACATACATTGGCAAGTAAACAAGCAGTTAATAATCAGAAAAGGGAAGAGAGGGAGGGGGATTGGACACTGAACTACATGCAACATCAAGGGAGGAAGGTTTGTTTCAAAAATGTAGATGGGCTAATTTACATGAAAGTCTTCAAAGCTAACTCGGAGTGTTTAGTGCTAACCAGGTCTATTTCAAGGAAGATGGAGATATATGTGGTTCGAGGTGTGCTTTCCCATTGGAGTCAATGCAAAGTTGATGTACAGTTCCAGGTCTGGCATGGAACAGGTACTATCTGGACCTCTACTCTCCGAGACCAGAGTAGAGATGTTTGGCTCTCTAGAAGGGTGTGAATGACAAGGGCCTGTAGTATCCCGATCCACTACC